ATCACCAAAATCTTCAATCCAAAATAGCGTCCAAACGGTGCATTTTAGCGACTCGACCCGTCCAGGCGAAATTGTAGACATTTTGATTGCGCATCTGCTCAAGAAATTTGGTAGTCATTGGATCAGTAGTTTTGCAGATATTTGCTGCTGAAATTGAAATTTTTGAATTAATTTTCAATTATCTGCCCTTTGCTATTGGGCCTAGAACCTTGAGATTTTTGCAGGCACAACTTCAGCACTGTGGGCACCATGGTGATTTTTTTCAAGTGATTCTGTCCACTGGTGCTCTTTGTAGGAGTGGAACAAAATCCGGCGGAATAATAAATAATAATAATAATAATAATAATAATAATAAAAACATCAGTAATTACAATAGGTCTCCTGCTTTGCAGCGAGGAGCCCTAAAAACATTAACGATTCCAATAGGTCTCCTGCCTTGTGGCAAGGAGCCCTAATTACAAAATCATTATTTTTGAGTTTTTCGGGGTTTTAACCCCGGAACTTGATAGTAAGTCAAAAATGCTTTCTAATGGTCAAGGTCACGGGGTCAAGGTCATTTGACCGGTCCGTCACAAGAAAAAACACTTTTTTTGGCGAGCTAAGTCTCCGTTGATATTACCTTTAAGGTGAAAGGAGTTAGTGTTTCTGCTTGCCCAGATCCGATGTATCACATGTCTGTCGGCCAAACTACAAGCTATCCATTTCCTCCGGAACTATGAAACGTATAGAGTTGCGATTTTGCACACAGCATCCCCTTGACTGTGCCTAGTGATGCTATAAAAGTCGAGTCTTTTATTTTTCAAGTTTTGTTGCTATGGCAACCTGAAAATGAAAAAGTTCAATCCAAGATGGCGGCCAAACGGCTAGAGATATCGATTTTTGACCCACCCAAAAATGATCGGCATTTCATGACTAAGCCACATGCCAAATATGAAAGTGATTGCGGTAATAGTAGTGGAGATATAGGCTGTTTTATGCCGTAATGGGGTCAATATTGCATTTGTGCAGTTTTCAATCCAATATGGCCGCCAAGCGAGGCATATTTTGATAAGCATGTAAGAACACAAAATGTCAAGCGTATCATCGTGATGCATTGTACTGATTTTCACGTCTCTCTGTGCAGACCCTGAGCAGCTACGCTGTATATAAATTAATGTCATCAGAATGTGCCGAAATCCAATATGGCCGCCAAACAATTCTCATTTTGACATGCACCAAAGAACAGAAAATGTTCAGCACATGAAGTTACTTCATGCTGCCAGATTCTAGCTGCGTAGGTGAAATAGTAATGACGCTGTGATTGTTTTTGTAAATCCATGTGTGTAAGATTCAATACAATATGGCCGCCAAACGACGCCGTTTTTGATAAGCATCCAAGAACACAAAATGTTAAACATTGTACGCTTATGCATTGTACCAATTTTCGTGTGTTTTTTGTGCAGAATCGGAGCAGCTAAGCTGTTTCTAGAGTAGTGTCACCAGAATGGGCCGAAATCGAATATGGCCGCCAAACGATTCACATTTTGACATGCCCCAAAGAACAAAACTGTTCAGCGCATCAAGTTATTGCATGCTGCCAGATTTTAGCCAGCGTAGTTGAAATAGTAATGACGCTGCGATTCTTTAAAGATACAGTTTAGTAAAAAAATAAACAACAAAACCAAAATCTAGATATCCGTAACTAATCAAGATATCGCAACGTGAGCTCGAGGATGTTCATATTTGAGGTATATACTCTATATGTGCAAATGTGCAAAGTTCTTGACATCATACATTCAGACTTATGGATTGCAGAAATGCCTACCCGTCAAAAACGTGAAATTTCCTTAAATCCAATATGGCGGCCAAACGGTGCCTCGTAGCCCCTTGGATCCTGCAGTTGAAATTGAAGGTAATCGGATTCCAGATCTGCTCCAGACATTTGGTAGTCATCGGACTTGTAGTTTCGGAGATTATTGCTTTGGAAATTGAAAAATTTAAATTAATTTTGAATTATCTCCCCTTTGCTATTGGGCCTAGAGCCTTGAGATTTTTGCAGAAACGACTTCAGCACTGTTGGCACCATGGTATTTTTTTTCAAGCGATTCTGTCCAGCGGTGCTTTTTGTAGGGCTGGTACAAAATACGGCGGAATAATAAATAATAAAAACATTAACGATTCCAATAGGTCTCCTGCCTTGTGGCAAGGAGCCCTAATAATATTCGGATAATAACAGTAGGTCTTCCAGACATTTCGTCTGAAGACCTAAATATTCGGATAATAACAGTAGGTCTTCCAGACATTTCGTCTGAAGACCTAATTACTCAACATGCAGGTAACCCATGAGCTTGCCACTGCAGTCATGTACTCCCTGACTTATGTACCTATGCTTTCACACTCTCAAAATTTGTAACTTGTTGCCAATGTATAACCAGCTCCAAGTGCCTTACCTATGGAGTTTGCAACTGGAGTAGTGTACTCCCTGATTTTGTATACCTATATTATCACACTTTGAAAATTTGAACTCTTTGTTGCTGATGTATAACCAGCTCTTACATGCCTGTAAACCAGAGAGTCTGTTGCTGGAGTGATGCACTCCCTGACTTTGTGTACCTATGTTTTCATACTTCGAAATTAGTAAATCTTTGTTGCTGATGTATAACTAGCTAGAACATGCCATTGAGTTCCTCTTCCCGTAGATAAGCTGGTGCCTGACTACGTTTGCCCCGTGGGCTCTACATAGGTAGTAGTGGCATTTCACTCAGATACCGCACACGGAGCACGTGTAGTTCACAAATCCATTTCTGATACTCCTCATGTGGACCACAGGTCTCGGTTTTCCCCATAAGCACGTACTGGCAACGATACGGAGCGGGTCTCATTTTTGGTATACTCATATGTGTATCTAGTTTAATTGCCTTGCGATTAACACAGTCGCTGCTAGATCCAGCACGATGAAGACCAGTTCCCAGTCCTTTTGTCCCGGGGAGGGCACGTAGTACTGAGAGAGTGGGGGGGATTCGCCAATGGGTTTGAGCTGTTTGCCGGTCAGCAGGTACTATTCTTTCGCAGTGTCGACGTCCTTGAACGTTCTAACGGCATGGTTCTCACGCTCGGGTTGGTCGTTAATGTAATCGAGTCTCTGCATACGTTTCTTAACGTACTCAGCTTGCGCGGCTTGCAGTTTCTCCACAGCTATGTCGTGCCATTTTCGCTCCGCTTCTACCTCGGCCGCATTTTACTCCCGTAGTTTCGAGAAGAGGTAATTACTCCCGGAAAATGCCAGGGCGTTTACTACAGCCCCGCCGACCATCACAGCGATCATAGCCATCCTATATATAACTATATTTACTTCAAGATATTTTCTGGTATGATCCCTTGTTTTACAAGGATATCCTTCATGGCCATCGCCATACCCAGGTTCAAGATAAGCATACCCATATCCTGCAGGTCGAAGTCAAGCTTGATAGTCGGTTGTTTGAGGACCATTTTTGTCAGACGAGTGTATGCTACGGTTGCATGGTATGCTTCGTTAACAAACGTTTTCCCCTCAGACATGATGTATATAATATGCAAATAAATTTTTTGGCTTTTGTACCCGCTCCCCTGACCTAACCGCTGGGTCGATTTGCATGAAACTTTCAGGGATGATAGCCTGTATGTTGAAATTGATACAATGGTGAAAAAATCCCGACTTCCGGCTTCCGGTAAGGGCAGACAACCCAAAATGTCGAAATCTTTACACCTGAATAACTCAAAAACTATAAGAGATAAATGGACCAAATTTTCACTCAGTGTAGACAACACCATTCTCCAACGATACAACACATAGCAAAAGTTGGCCGGTAGGTCAAATTGCGGAAAATTTTTGCTGATTTCCTCGTTTTTACGGTGCCTGTCTTTAAAAATCTTCTTCTCCAGAACGGCATATAGTACAATCGCGTTCGATACACCGTTGGAAAGCCTATACTCTGGACACCTTAATTTGTTCAAGGCATGTCGATATCTTGAATTGTTTTGGAGTTATCGCCCTTGAAAGTCGGTGAATTTTTTAAGACGCATTTTCATAGGGTTAAGAGAAAGGTCTCAACTCTGCGAAAAATCAATGTATTCCATTTTTCTAAGTACCAACCTCTAGGTAATTGAATGGGAAACATTTGTGCTTCACATCATGGTTATGTAAAAATCAATAATAACGTCACCATTACGACACAAAGACAACTTTCGCGATTTCACAAATTTTCGCGCCTTTTTGATGGTGCCTGTGTTTAACAATCTTCTGCTCCTGAACGGCAAATAATACAATAGTGTTCTATATATCGTTTTAAAGCCCACACTCCGGACTACTTAGGCTGTTCAATGCATGTCGATATCTTGAATAGTGTCGGAGTTCCTGACGAAAATTACCTTTTCCAGGATGACATTGCTCCCATTTATTGGGCCTGTATCATTGATGCATGCAAAGAACAGAACAATATTTATTGCCTGACTTGGCCTGCACAATAACCAGATTTAAATATCATTGAAAATGGAAAGAGCATTCCAAACCAGAACAGTTGATATCAGGGCAGAAGAGGACTTTTTCACATGATAAGGGACGTATGACACAACCTGACCACTGATAATATTATACTATTATGTTGACAGTGTTAATTTATGACCAGTGACCACATTACTGTCAAATTAAGTACATAAGAACATTGGCTGTTATCCTGCCTGGCTTGTATATGTTCCATTTTGCCTATCTTGTTTTGAAAATTCAAACAGAAGTAAGAATACTCGTTTTTGAATCAATATTTGATTCTTGTGATCAGTAATAACAAATGGAAGTCATCAAAAGAGATGGTTCAATTCGCTGAATACATGAGTGAACCATAACAGCCACTGTTTAATGTGATTACAATTGTGTTTAGAAATATATTATACCGCCATATAGTATAGTTTTGGATTTTCCCCCATGCAACATTTAAGTCCACCTATTTTGTATGCATTAAGGTGACTTATCTTCGTTCTTCTTTCAGCGGTGTTTCAAAAATGCTGAAATATATTTACTTGGCAAGTTTTGTGCAGGTATGCTGTGGTAAGTATTGCTTTATATCTGTCCATTAGAAACTATCTTGTTCTGTCACTAAGCATAGTTAGTAACTTACATAGTGAACAAATTTTATCTCTCTATTGTTCCATAACAGTTTAGATTTTTCAAGCTCCTGCTTGACATCGTCACACTTATCCACATATCTACAGCATGTGTATTGTCTGCATTCAAGTTTGTTGACCAACTTCGTCTTCTCTGCATAACAATCGGTGAAATGTATTATCATGGTATGAACCATGGGCAATCATTTTTTAAAATTCGTCTTGAAATCATCGATCATCAAGTTAGCTGGTCAATAGTGTCACACTGGTCACTGTTTTGACAATCAAATACATATGCAATGCTCTATCAGGGCTACATATAAGGGGCGTATAGGCGTAATGTATGCCTCAAAATCAATTAAGTACGACATAATATAAGATTTCAAGCGTATCATGTACGCACATAAATACTTTTGTAGGTCTAACATTTAATTTCCTTTCGTATCATGCAAATGGAAATCTATTTCGGATAAATACTTGTCAAGTTTCTTTTTCGAAACACGATTTGACACATGAGGAAACCCCGACAGTAGGCATCCCTTGCGTTGCCATGCAACGATATGCGTCACTATTTTTCGATTGGCTAAAAACTACACTGTTCCTATTTATATCCAGTCGGACCTGACATTTCGCGCATCACACGGTCGCTAGGTTATTTCTCACGCGTCATCAAATACAAATACATGGTTGGAAATAGTGATCGATGAAACGTCCAGACAAACCACATCATCAACTCGCTCACACAAAACATGTCAGTACTCCCCAGTACATGTCGCACCCCCAAAAGTTATCTGGAGCCCTGTCTATTGTAGACTTTTTCCCTATTTCTTTTTTTATTAACTGACTTTTGCACGCCAAAATCATCATGTCACACAACAAATGTCTGCAGTGTCAGAAATCCGGCCCTCACTGGTGTTGTGCTTCATGCTTTACTGACCAATCATGAGTTGATACCTGTAGGGAATTTTTAGAAAAACAAACAAATTGATTGTCCCAGAAAATGTTTTAATAGATAATTATGCTTCAGACACAGGGAAATAGAAATTGTCTGCTGCACAAATTGCACTGTTATTATTTTGTAACAAATTAAGGATCCAAGTTTTCATTAACAAATTGTCTTGTCACCATACAAGATCCCAGGCTGGTAGAGCAGAGATAGTTTTAGCTGTGCAAATAACTTATGTCAATCTGGTGAATTATAACATACTTGTTAGGACAATGTATTTTTCCCTAGTTTTAGCCTATGGAAATATTTGTGGCGATAAGTCATAACATTAGAATGACATCAGGCCAGCCAGTGAGAATACAGAACAACTTTCATGGCACAAAATACTGACAAATAGAAAGTCTGATGTCGACACTCCTAGTTCAAAATGAAAAAACAATGAATAAAACAGGTACTTCATCATTTGCCATTGTATTTATGGTTTTGGCCCGGTGTAGCAGCCCAGAATAACCCCCCACCAGATTATACCCCAGGGTAAACTATAGGCTAGCCCAGTCTATACCCTGGTGGTTTATTCTGGACCATGCCAAAGTGTACCCCTCCAGCCCAGACTATACCCCTAAAAAATTATGTTGACAATTTGTAGGTGCATTTTATTTACATTACTGCATAATACAAAATTTATGAAGCATTTGTTTAGTGCCTCTCTGCGATGTGATATTTTCGACTTTGCATAACCCAGCCATGCTGATATATCATTAAGGTTAGTAGTAGCACAACTAAGGTATTTCGGCGACGGGGTAGTACACTTATTAAGAAATGAGGTGGAACAAAAAATAGACAAAAGCGCGAAGTCGGTTGCTCTGTTTCTTTTCCATGTCATCTGTCGACTGGGCTGCATGGACACATTGATCAGTGATCAAGGACGAGAATTCGTTAACAAAGTGATTGACTCACTCATGGACCATTTCCAGACGGATCATCGCATAACCTCGGCTTACCATCCTCAGTCAAACGGCCAGTGGGAACGTGACAAACCATCTTCGATCTACACAAAGGCATCTGTTCCACTGTTTCCAACAATATCTCCAATGCACAGGATCGCCAGAAAGAAAACTACGATCGACAACACACCAGCAACAAGGAGATAGCTGTTGGATCAACAGTGTACATCAAGAATAACCGACGAGTCCAGAGGATGGAGCCACGCTGGACTGGACCATACTCGAAGCAACAAAAAAGACTCAGAGATGAACTGGAGTCAGGCGACCATACATACCTTACTACCAAACAAATCAAGTCAACCTGTTAGTTCAACCCTATCCCCCAAAATGCTTGAAGGAATTTGGCTACTGCATTAGGCCTGAACTCTTCAAAGGACATTTATTACGTAAGATCGACAGACTTGACAGCACCCCGACAGACATACAGAACCAAAGGCGACGGCAACTGCTACTTCCGCTGCATCAGTTACAGCCTGACAGGATCCGAAGACAGTCACAGCACTATCCGAGATCAAGTGGTTCAGCATATGAACAATGACATTAATGATGAACTAAAACATTTCCTGACAAAATGTCAATGAGTACATCACTATTTTGGGAATTTCACAAGATGGAGTGTGGGCAACAGATGCAGAAGTTATGTCAACAGCAAGTCTGTTAAAATGTGACATGTATATTTATAGTGCAGCTGGTCAGTCAATGCAATGGCTGATGTACCCTGCCAGCTTCAGCTTGAAAACTCACACTGATTATGCTTTGCATCTGGAAAATGTATCGGACCATTTCAATGTTGTAACCAGTGTTTGATTGTGTGAGAAGTACAATAAAATGATAGTAGTATCCTTAATCACTTGTTTTCTGTAGGGGTATAATCTGGGCTAGGGGGGGTATACTATGGCCTAGTTAAGAATATACCCGGGGTATAAACTAGGCTAGCCCAGATTATACCTGGGGTATAGTCTGGGCTAGCCCAGTTTAACCCCGGGTATAGTCTGGGACAGGGGTATACTCTGGCCTGTTACACCGGGAAAGGGAAATTTCAATATTCCCTATTCCCAGTAAAGCGAAAACCAAAGTTGTGCTAGAAGTGCCACGAAAGTGAATTGCTATGAAAACATCGGATTACCGTACTTCAGATTAGCACACGACGGGAAAGCTAAATTCAGTGTTCACTGTAGCTTGACCGTTCCCGCGAAAGCAACACCTAAATTGATGAGGTTTGGTCCAGATTTCATGCCTTAACCTTATTTATAGATAATGTCTTTTGGGGGGATAGACTGCAGTATTTGGGGCTCCAAATTGGAATGAACGTTATTGCAAAACATTTTCAAGCTCATGGGAAATCTCTTACTGATTTTGATCATATATATTTCATCACAATTGGACTTGATTATATTTCCTTATCCTGACTCATGCTTAATGCTTGTCTCCTTCCTCTTGCGAACGTTCGTGGAACACCTGTATCTCCTATTGAAGCTCCCTTCAATAAAGAACAGACCTAAAATCACTCCTCCCAAGAGTTATCTCCCCAGCTAATTAGGCGGGAAACTGTGGCGCCACCGTCCCCACATGCTTCACTCTCTCCTTCCTCGCCTGTGGGCAGGTTGTGAGAGCGCCTGTGTCTTCTATACGGCACTATATCCTTTAATTACTTAGTTATTCTCCTCTATTCTACTTTTAGTTAGTATCCTTCAACAATATCTTTTGATATTTAATCGTATTTAGCACTGTTTATTCACGGAATTGTCCGTGTTTGTTCAGTTGTTTACATTTCATGAAAACATATTTTCGTTGTAGGTTTAGGTTCGCTGCTACAAACCCGCATTGATTGTGCCCTAGCTGCACAACAACATGTACTTCCAGCTATAGCTGTAATCTTTATCAGCAATTAATAGAAATTCAATTTAATAAATATTTTTTCTCTGTACTTAGACATACTACCGACAAATCCAGGTGACTTTCCAAGTCATGGATAAACTGGCTGAGTCCCTCACGAGCTGTCTACTGCTGTTAGACGACTTACTACCATCAAGTGACCTGCCGGAGGTGTCCTCGGAGGATGGGCGTGGGATGTTGTCCGCCATTACCAAGAGCGTTGGCTTCTACATCGGACAACCCCTCAACGCAGACGTAGAAGACGAAGCCATCCTCTACACAGAATGAAGCCTCACAGACATCATCCGGATTGCAGTGAGATGACTTCATGATGAGCCGCTGCTGATCATCCCAGAGATACAGCACGCAGTCCGAGGGCGACAGATGAGCGATCCCTGGACCATATCGCTATCAATGCAGAGAGGGGCAGCTCTACAATCATCACAGACGATGTATAGACGCCTTCCTCTACCCAGAGAAGGCTACACACCCCTCAGCTGACGACCAACTCTACGGGGACGTCTGCGCAGACTACAAGGACTTTCTCTACCGCGATTGTCCCGATGACGGAACAGGGACTTTACAATGATCAACTGATCATCATCCCAGAGCTTCATCCCAAGCAACGACCGGTCTCAGCTACGGTGACGTCAGCGCAGATCTCTACTCAACCCGAGGTATCAACGTTGACAACAGATGACTGTCCAGTGGGCCCCGTCGCTATCACTGCAGAAAGGGCAGCGCCAGTACCACCGCAGACCTTCAACCCAGGCGACTTCATGCAGCAGTTCTCCCAACAGATCATGGAGCTGATGGAGCAGCGTTACGGCCTGGAAAAGAATTCACTGCCAGCTCAGCTCCAACGCAGACGTCAGCTCTGAGGGGACCCTCCATCAACGTGATTTCTGCCAGCAGAACTTCACTCCCGGACCAGCCTGCGCGAAGGTCAACTCAACCATCCCCTGCGGCGGACTCAGACGTTCATCGGACGGATACAGCATCAGACGACCAGCGTTCACGAAGGACCAGTCACCATTCCCCAGATGCGGAATCAGATGTTCAGCGTTCGCGAAGGAGGCATCACCCATCCCCGGATACAGAATCGGACATCCAGCGTTC